GGCATCGTATGCTAAAAAATGAAGTTTGGAGTTTGGGGTTTGAAAATTTTATGGGAGCTTCCTAGAAGACTAAGAAGTGCTTTGCTCGAGACGGATTTCGATTTAGATTTCCGCCGTGTTAATTTTGCCAATTACGGCTCCTCGCGCGCACGCTCAAGCACCCCGACGTGCACACCGGCGCGCACGTGGGCATCGTATGCTAAAAAATGAAGTTTGGAGTTTGGGTTTGAAATTTTACGGGAACTTCCTAGAAGCCTAAGAAATGCTTTGCTCGAGACGGATTTCGATTTGGAGGTCCCCCGAGTTAATTTTGCCCATTACGACTCCTCGCCCGCACGCTCGTGCACCCCGGCGTGCACGTGGGCATCGTATGCTAAAAAATGAAGTTTGGAGTTTGGGTTCGGAAATTTTATGGGAGCTTCCTAGAAGCCTAAGAAATGCTTTGCTCGAGACGGATTTTGATTTGGAGATCCCACGAGTTAGTTTTTGCCATTATGACTCCTCGCCCGCACGCTCAAGCACCCCGGCGTGCACGTGGGCATCGTATGCTAAAAAATGAAGTTTGGAGTTTGGGTTCGGAAATTTTATGGGAGCTTCCTAGAAGCCTAAGAAGTGTTTTGCTCGAGACGGATTTCGATTTGGAGGTCCCCCGAGTTAGTTTTGCCCATTATGACTCCTCCCCCGCACGCTCAAGCACCCCCGCGTGCACGGGGGCATTGTATGCTAAAAAATGAAGTTTGGAGTTTGGGTTTGGAAATTTTATGGGAGCTTCCTAGAAGCCTAAGAAGTGCTTTGCTCGAGACGGATTTCGATTGGAGGTCCCCCGAGTTAATTTTGCCCATTATGACTCCTCGCCCCGCACGCTTAAGCACCCCCGCGTGCACGTGGGCATTGTGTGCTAAAAAATGAAGTTTGGAGTTTGGGTTTGTAAATTTGATGGGAGCTTCCTAGAAGCCTAAGAAGTGCTTTGCTCGAGACGGATTTCGATTTGAAGGTCCCCCGTGTTTAATTTGCCCATTACGGCTCCTCGCCCGCACGCTCAAGCACCCCGGCGTGCACGTGGGCATTGTATGCTAAAAAATAAAGTTTGGAGTTTGGGTTTGGAAGTTTTTATGGGAGCTTCCTAGAAGCTTAAGAAGTGTTTTGCTCGAGACGGATTTCGATTTGGAGGTCCCCCGAGTCAATGTTGCCCATTATGGCTCCTCTCCCGCATGCTCAAGCACCCCTGCGTGCACGTGGGCATTGTATGCTAAAAAATAAAGTTTGGAGTTTGGGTTTGGAAGTTTTATGGGAGCTTCCTAGAAGCTTAAGAAGTGGTTTTGCTCGAGACGGATTTCGATTTGGAGGTCCCCCGAGTCAATGTTGCCCATTATGGCTCCTCGCCCCGCTACGCTCAAGCACCCCGGCGTGCACGTGGGGCATTGTATGCTAAAAAATAAAGTTTGGAGTTTGGTTTGGAAGTTTTATGGGAGCTTCCTAGAAGCTTAAGAAGTGTTTTGCTCGAGACGGATTTCGATTTGGAGGTCCCCCGAGTCAATGTTGCCCATTATGGCTCCTCTCCCCGCATGCTCAAGCACCCCTGCGTGCACACGGCGTGCACGTGGGCATTGTAGGCTAAAAAATGAAGTTTGGAGTTTGGTTTGGAAATTTTATGGGAGCTTCCTTGAAGCCTAAGAGTGTTTTGCTCGAAACGGAATTCGATTTGGAGGTCCCCCGAGTCAATTTTGCCCATTACGACTCCTCGCTCGCATGCAATATCTACTCCTGTCAGAGCTGTGGTTTTACTTAAGACTACTATAGGGGGGGGGGGAGTTCTCAGCACCAAGAGCTGCAAGTAAGGCCATTGCTTGCTTTGCAGTCTCGATTGCTCTACTAGTGAATAGTAGATGTCTTGGTTAGCTTGGAACGAAAAAAAAAAATTTTTTGGGGAAAAAAAAAAAAAAAAGTTTTTGTGAAAAAAAATTTTTCGAAAAAAAAAAAAAAAAAAAAAAAATTTTTTGGATGCCTCGGTCTTCTATTTGTTTGCTTGGGTAGATTAGGAAAAAAAAAAAAAAAAATTTTTTTGTTGGATGCCTCGGTCTTCATATTCTTTCTCGGCTATTTCGAAAAAAAAAAAAAAAAAAATTCCGGGAAAAGAGAAAAAAAAAATTATTTTTTGTTGGTTGCCTCGGTCTTCATGTTCTTTCTCTGGTATATGGGAAAGAAAAAAAAAAAAAAAAAAAATTTGGATGCCTCGTCTTCTTGTTCTCGTTGGATTATCGAAAAAAAAAAAAAAAAAAAAAAAAAAAAAAATTTTGAATGCCTCGGTCTTCTTGTTCTTGCTTTGGTATATCGGAGAAAAAAAAAAAAAAAATTTTTTGGATGCCTCGGTTCTTCTTGTTCATTCTTCGGTATATCTAAAAAAAAAAAAAAAAAAAAAAAAAAAAAAAAAATTTGAGACTTCGGTCTTCTTGTTCTTGCTTTGGTATATCGGAGAAAAAAAAAAAAAAATTTTGGATGC